AAAGGTATTTAGGTGCACAACAGCAGAGCTAGGTGCCCCGGGCCCTGAAAGCTCCATGAGGCACCTATCAGAACTGTTTGGTGCCTAAATACCTTTAAAAACCTGTCCCCTAGTCAAAGACATCTCCCAGGGCATTGACTGTAGCCAGGTCAGTCGGAGCATGGGGAACTGAGAGCCATACACAAAATTACCCAGCAAAGAGAGAGGCAGTAAATTATGACCACACAGCAACTGGAATGAATCCAGAAGGATACTCACACCAAATGAAGAGGGTTAGAAGGCCAAGGAGAGATATTACAGCTGAGGTGACTGCATAGCCGGTCAGATCTACAGTCTGTGAGCAGCCTCTGTCTGTATGTATTTTTTTTTAAAAGAGAAAGTTACAGCTTGTCAGTAGCTTGCTCATTTGTCCAAAGAAATCATAGTGGAGCTAAATTGTAGGACATAAACTTGTATTTAATCCAGATCTATAGAGCTAAGACATGTCTGTGGGAGGAGAGAACCGGAACATCTATATTTTATAATAATACACGAGATTCAAATGTGCTGCCCTGGAGATCCCTGACCAGGACTTTTGAGTGACCAAAGGTGAGACAGACCTCCTGAAAACCCCTCCTAGGTTTTCTGCTGAGCCAAGGGCATGGCGGGATGGGACTTTGGGGATTAGATCAGTGCTGTGTGTGGATACTCATGCAGCACAGACATGTTCAGAGTTCATGTGCAGTGTCCCCATGTTTTGATACAAGCGACTCCCAGTGATGGGGGGGTCACTACACCAGGCTCTGCAGCAAGAACCGCCCATGCAGAACCTCCAGCTCTCAGAGGTGAAGGTTTGTTCTCAGGGAAACATGCAGTGTAAACGTAGGTCACTAGAGGGTCTGTTCTCACCTTGGAGCTTGTAGATTTTCTGGAGTAGGAGGCTGGCAAACAGGACCACTAATATCACTGCTCCAGGGGCTGCAGAGTCCAGGATGACACGCTGCCCTGGGACAGAGAGGGAAACATGTGAAGGCAGAGAGACAAATGTGTTATAAAAGTTCCCGTATGAGGACATTTCTGCTATGTACAAGAGCATGATTCCAAGGAGTGCCTCATGCAGTAAACGGGTCAGATCATGGGGCTTTGCGTTCTATTACAAACCAGAGTTATGGAAAGAAATGGACAGGAATCAAGTCTCATCTAGTGGCAGCTGATATTTTAAAAAGCCAGTGCAAATTCAACAGCTACGCAGACAGACAAGCCATCCTACAGCTCTGCTGGTCACCATCAAGCTGCTCAGCTCCACCTGATTATACCTTCAGTCTCTCACTCATCCCTCCCGCATACCTGGTGTTATCTCATCGCTCGCTGCAGTAAAGTGACTGACACATCCAAAATGCTGATTCATGACCCAGAGGTTTCAGAAGCGAATCCCACGTCCTTTCATGCTGCCCTCTCCTCGGCCCATATTTCCACCTTTTAAAGTCATATGTTTGGGGCAGGGCAGGTTAAGAGTTAGATGTCGGATAGGCCTTGCAGTGAATGTGAAGGGAATGGGCTGCAGTGCGTGTGTCAATATTAGTACCAGTAAAAGCCCCCTGTACAGCCCTTTCCTCTAACTTAGTGAGGCCTATCAGGGTCTTTCAACAATCCCATTTAGGAAATAAATCAGTTCACCACCTGTCCCCCAAGAGTTGAATCATAAATAGAATGACTCACATGGTTTGGTCTTAAATCCACTGAGCTTTGCAGGCTGACACACCAACGTTGCTGATATAAAGGCTGTTACTATTATCACATATACAAACAAAATCTGAAGCAATATGAAGGCAGCAGAGGGACCTGGGAGAATTAAATCAGAATTAGAGAGACTGATATGGTTAATCTGGCTTAGTAAAGGTGAATGTCAGCGAGAGATCATTATTGGGTCTGGGCACTATACAGATGGGGCTACAGTCTGGCCTCAGTTACACCAGTGACACCCCATTGAGGTCAGTGAAGTCAATGGGGTGCAGGGGCATAGCAGATGGCAGAGTTTGGCTCCCGGGCTGGAGATGAAGTTTATAGTGGGTAAACAGTTGCACCTGTGGACTGGAAAAGTGACTGGCAAAGGGATAGTGCTGAGTGCTGAGTGCTACAGGCTGAGGCATTACAGCTTATAGGAGGTTGCAGTTTCACCCCAAGAGACAACACTGGGTAGAATTCACTATAAACCAAAACCTTCAGTCAACATATAGATCGCACCCTTATTATACATCAACTACCCCGCTGCTCACTCTCCTCCCATCCTAAGCTACTCTGCAACATCTACAAGATGTGCCCGTTTCCTGCTCAACTGTGACAACCAGTATCTACGATCTCGGATACCTACCAGTTTCTAAGACCTTGCTGCTAAAAAAGTGTTACTTCCATGACCTTGTCTCGGTGGACTGGATTGCGTGGGGCCATTTTGGTGCCCGGCTCTGGTTGCATAGGAAGATTAAAGCTTTCCTTCCTTTTGCACACTACCTATTTGTCAGTTGGCCAGTTCTGACATTCATGCATGTCTCTGGAAGGTTTCTGAAACACAGTGTAATAGTCTAGCTTTTGTCACCCTGCTGACCCCGGCCACATGATCAGGCCACTACCTAGGTCAGCCAGTGAAACTGACAACAGGGTGGCTGAATGCACATGCACCTGAAGGTCCACCACAGCCAATCCTGCCACATGTAGCTGCACTACCCTCCTTGCCCTGAAATGAGCCACCATACCCCCCGCCCCCGTATGAGTCCTCCACCATCCCCAAATGCCCAAAGCCTCTAGTACACTCCTCTTTGAAACCCACCAAAATCACTGCTCCTTCCCCCTGCATGCAACAGTTGTCCTGTTTTTTTACTGAGGGCCAAATCCTCAGCTGGAGTAAATCCGTGTAGTTTCACTGGCTTCACTGGAACTATGTTGATTTACACTAGCTCCAGATGTGACTCTGAATCTGATCATCCTCCCCTTTGATTAACTGTAGGTTTCTTCTCTCTTCATAGACTCATTCAATTCACCTCATTCATCTCCTTACAATCTGAAGCACACACATTTGTTAGTATCAGAGACAGGGAAACTCTACCTTCCTCCTGCATCCAGAGGACAGTTGCAGCGAACAGCAAGATGCAAGAGACACACACCAGACCCTGAATGAATATGATCATCCATCTCCAGGTCTCCCCCTCTAGAAAAACAATAGACACACCAACAGTGAGTGCCCAGAGCTGCATGAAACCTCAGGCTCCGCGGATTCTGTTTTCAAGGGGTGACACAAACTTTCTCAGCTTTGGTTTGCCTGAGGTTTATTCCCCCTGAGCTTCAAACCAACCCCCAAAACTCAAAGCGAAACTTAGCTAAAACCACAAAGATTTGTCTAGTTTCAGGTGAAAACATGAGAACCCACCTGGTTTCCTCCTGAACCAGACAACAATGAAGGTTCCAAACCCAGCTTACACATGTTTACAGGAGCCGCAACCACATCTTGCAGGTGCAGGATGCATCCGTGCTCCAGTTCGGGAGCACTTTGCACGCACTGCATATCCTGGGTGTCATTCACAGAATCAGTTTTCACCCGTAAAGCCCTACATGGTTAGTGCCCTGTCTGCCTCAGACAGCTGTTCCCTCCATCCTTTCTCAGCAGCTGGCAGCTTCTTGGCTTAAAAGAGGCAGGACTGGTGCCAGGCTGTTTTCAGTACAGGGCTGCCAACTCCGTCCTTGGTCAGACAGAGATTGAGTCTGTTGACTAACCAGGCAGGCTGCAAGGCATAGCTATTCTCGATTGCTTTTACAGATGGGATAAGGAAAGTGCAGGTGGGTTAGAGTGTGTGTTGGTTGGGATGTGGGGGTGGAATCTGGATGGGCAAGGGTAAGTTAATTATTAATTCATTTATAATTTTTGATGCTCCTAGAGCGTGGGACATGACACATTTTATATCAGAGCAAACAGAGGCTGTGCCATTGGTACAGTGAACAATAATCCATTAAGCATCGTTGTCAGTGAGTGATGATGTGCAGAGTGAAGTACTACTCTCCAGGAGTAAGGGTGGAAGAATCTGGCCCCAAATGTAGGGAATGCTTAGGAATCAAGACAGAACAGGGTCTGAAGAGTTCAATCCTGTTTGTTATGCTGAGTACAAGCAGTGGAGCTGGGATCTGCAGCTGCTGTTTAGAACTGGGTAACGCTCCCCAGGATTTCCACACAGGGTTGATCAGAACCAACAAACTGATCTTGCTACACTGGTGAGACCTTCATCTTGGGCCTGACCCAAACCCTATTGAAGTTGGTGGAAAGGCTCTTACTGATTTCAGTGGCCTTTGAATTAGGCCCACACCCGAATGTCTACACTGCAATGTTATAGCCCTGCAGTCCAAGCCCAAGTCAACTGACCTAGGCCAGCCATGTCAAGCTGCAGGCCTTGTATTGCAGTGTAGACATATCCTGGGAGGCTAAGGGGAAAGCAATCGGCCAATGCTGCCTGCCATTATCTGATTTGATCTCAAGCAAAGAAGAGAAGAGGGTTTAATTTTGTGTACAACAGACACTATCCAAGAGCCACAGGCATATAAAATACTTACTGATTCTTTGCTTTCCTGACTGGCAGCACAAGACAAAGAAGCCCATCCCAGAGACCAGAGCAAACACCAAAGCAACAGCAGACATTTTCAGAGCATGTTCTAGAGGAGGTGAGATACCTGGTATGTGGAGAAAATAAATCCCAGTCTTATGGGGAAGCAGAAGAGAAATAATCAACAAACAGAATAGAACAGAGAGGCTGTGGGAGGTTGGGAGCTGTTGAGAAAGCTGTTGGGAGCCAGGATGTTTTCTGCTTGAGGATGTGCATGAGAGGATTGCTACCCCCTGCCAGTGATGGCACCTGGTCCCAAAGACAAACCCTTCCAGCTGGGTTCTAACCTCTTCTGCAGAGCTGCACCGATAGCAGGACGAAGTGAGATCATTACTGTGTTCATTCAAGTAAATGTAGTCAAATAGCACATCAATAGGTAGGAGAGTTCTGGGTGTTACACTGCTCACCTTTGACCTGATACAACACATCTACCAACCACTGGGAAACTACAAATTCGGTTCATAATCTGCTGTCTAGTGGCCAAAGTAGAAATGTATTCAGACAGGATCTATATCAGTGGTGGGCAACCTGCAGCCCATCGGGGTAATCTGATTGCAGGCTGTGAGACATTTTGCTGATGATGACCGTCCACAGGCACGGCCCCCTGCAGCTCCCAGTGCCCGTGGTACACTGTTCCCAGCCCATGGGAGCTGCAGGAAGTGGCGGACCGCTGGCTGCTGCTTCCCACAACTCCCTTTGGCCAGGAACGCTGAACCGTGGCCATTGGTTGCTGCGGCCACAGAATTACCCACGATAAACTGAAGCCCAGGAGTAATGCAACACTTACCGACAATGATCAAGTTCAGTGAGGATTCCTGCCAGCTGATATCATTGCTGACATTGCAGGAATAGAAGCCACAGTCTGATTTTTCCCCTTTCCCAATGTGCAACACACTGTCATTTTCAGAAAGAAGGTAACATCTTTCCTGGGGGAGAGGGCCTCCTTCTTTCTCCCAGTCAATGTTCTCCACTGTTCTCTCTGGCACGTTGCAAAATAACTCAATCGGTGAACCTGCCAGGCTAGAATTGCTCCATATCTGAGGCTGGGACACAGGCCCTGAAAAATACACAACACTGGTGTAGCACCAGTCTTAACAACACGCATGCTTCTTTCCTGGAGTTAGGGGGTTCAGGACCACACCTGAGATAAGCTGAGCAGGGACAGGTCCCTGCCAGAGTGAGCCCTGGGGAGTTTGGACTGAGTGGAAATTCAGCACTCAGGAGAAGGGGTTACGTGTTAGTGGTCTAAAGTCAAATAAAATCTGTCGTCATTGTTCATAATAAAATAGTAATGAAGTAAATGAATACAGAACTAGCTATTCAATTTAAATATAATCTATAAGGATTTAGCTTCCAATTTACAGATTAAACCCCAGGCCAGCCTAATTCCCATTCAGAGCAACTGCCAAATTATCCATGGAAGGAGAAGAGCAGCAGCGGATGAATCAGGGTGGCTGCACAGTGCACTGAATGTCCAAAACACTGCTAGCCTGTGGAACTCACTGCCACCAGATATCAGTTATGCCAAGAGCTTAGTAAGAGTCACAAAAGGATTAGACATTTACATTAATAATAGAACATTCACGGTGACATTAGATAGGCTTACACAAACATTTTTTAAAAAGAAGGAATATAAATACTCATGGCCACAGGTTGACAGCCACTAACTGAGGAGGTTAGGAAGAAAATTCCTCTATGGGCAGGGCATTCCATAACTGTTCACTAAGGAGTTTCTTGCACCTTCCTCCGAAACAGCCGGTACTGGCCACTGTCAGAGACAAGATACCGGACTAGACAGGTTTCTGGTCTGACCTGGTATGGGGATTCCTATGTTCCCAATATTATTTCTATGCCATTTCTCTTGTACAACATATCTGGAGAGAGAATAGTTCTGAAAGAAGACTTCCTGAGATGGACTTTTAATATTATTTTAACTTATTTATACTGCTCTGTTTTTTAAACAAATTGGCCATAGAGAATCTGACCCTTGTAATATATTTACAAAAATAAAAACACATATGTATATAATATATACTGATTTATGGACCACAGATGCACTAATACTGCATTAGCATTGTAGATGATAAGTATCTATGACCAGTTTAAAGGAAATCTCGCTGTCCTATTGATTCCCGTCATGAATAGCTACCGTACACTGACAAAGCAAAAAATAAACAATGTAAGCACAACGCTCAGGGTGAGGGCAATTGTTTTGTTTAGAGGGCGATATGCTGAGCTATTGTATCCTCCAGTGAGATCTATCCAGGGTTTTCTGCCAGTACATTTTTCCCCTCCCTCAGCTCTGTTCTAACTGGTGCTCTGTGCTTAGAGAGCTGGCCATTAACGAGCAAGCACAGGCATTCAACCCTGGAGCATTACTAACACTAGGTGTCATTCATATGTTCCCTGTGTAGCATCCTGAACAGTCACTCCCAAGTGATTTCCCCTACAAGAGGCATCAAAGCTGTTCTGTGCATGGGCAGCAAGGGGCGCGGTGCCACCAGAGTGGAGAGTGGTTTCACAGAGCACATTCAGACTGAACACATCGAGTCTCCATCATTCTGGGGATTCAGAGCCCCTTCCATATATACACGTTTCCCAGTGCAGAGTCAGATACAGCCTTCCCCATTCCGGGACTCGCAGATCTCCCTGACATTTCCCAGTGTGTTCATCAGCATCCCCAGTCTGGCTCATAAGAACATAAGAATGGCCATACTGGGTCAGACCAAAGGTCCATCTAGCCCAGTATCCTGTCTTCCGACAGTGGCCAATTCCAGGTGCTTCAGAGGAAATGAACAGAACAGGTAGTCATCAAGTGATCCATCCCCTGTCGCCCATTCCCAGCTTCTGTCAAACCGAGGCTAGGGACACCATCCCTGCCCATCCTGGCTAATAGCCATTGATGGACCTATCCTCCATGAACTTATCTAGTTCTTTTTTGAACCTTGTTATAGTCTTGGCCTTCCCAACTCCTTTGTGGCTTGATGAAATTCCCCCTCCATTATGACTATTCCCATTCACACCCTGGATTGAATGGATCCTTCTAATGTACTGATTTGTAAACGTTGGAAGAGTAAGACCATCTCCTCAGTGTCTCTCACTTACTGAGAACTTTCAGAAAGGTTGTCCTGGCTTCACTCTCGATCAGATTGATACTGGCTTTGTAGACCCCGCTGTCTGTCTCTTGTAGTTTTTCCAGCAAGAGGGAGCCATTAGTTGAATAGAAAACGACTCTGTCTCCATAGTGCGTATAGATAGTTGGCTCCAGTGACCCCACGTAGTACTGCACAATGAAGTCTGATATGTTGCCATTTAGATATTCCCACTGGATGAAGTTGATGTCTTTTATGTTGTCTGGTGCAGACAGCAGCACCGAGGATCCCACGGCTGCAACTTTTCTTTCCAGAGGTCTTGCTGCTTCTGAAGTCCACTGGAGAACCACCAGCAGCACTAGCCAGACAGGGAAGAGAAGTGGAAAAACAGAAAAAAAAAAGTCAGTCATAAAGCAAAGTCCAAAGGGCATTTTCCATACCAGGTAATTCAAAAGCTTATACCATCCTCATTACTTTAGCACCACAGCACCTT